GTGGGTACTAATGCCTTTATTTATTAATCTATTTTCGCCGCTACTAACTTTATCTCCAATTTACATGTATATAATGCTAATTGTTGCCCGTGGTCTTACACGTATAGTGTCGTATTTTTTCTTTAAGTTGAAATTTTCAAAAAAAATTTCTAGTTTTTTTTTTATATCACTGAGGTGGCAAACAAGCATACGGCCCACCTGATGGTAAGTGGTTACCGTAGCCTATGAACACCTGCAATACCAGAGGTATTACGCGCGCGTTGCCGACCCTGAAGAAACCTCTTTACCCCTCTTTTGAAGATATTAGTATTTCAGTGGATGCTCACGTTATAGAATAAACTTATGTGAAAAATCTTAGCTTTCTATACTTCATACGTAAATTTAAATGTTGATAGTCAATCAAGAAAAAATATTGTATATACATTATTTTTTTTAACTATGTTTATATTAAGTTTCTTTTAAAATACCGCGCTCATGAATAAAGACTCCTATTGAATTTGAAACTAGTCGAGCTTATTCGTATTTTAAGTTAGTAAAGCCTTCATAAATAATTATAATCAATGCCCACGAGTAGACTTATTCCATTGTACTAATGAAGAGTTTCACAGGATAGCAACGGAGTTTATCTGTGGTGTTAATTAATTAATACAAATTTAAATGTACATTATATAAAATAATTGGAATAAAGCCTTGTTGTACGAATTGGTAAAAGCGATAATGTCTGTTGAATAAATAAATAGAATTAATTAAAGAAATAACAAAATCTTATGTCCACTTGTATCGAAATCAGGAGAACCTTAGTCTATATGTGATAATGAAAAGGCTTGTTTTTCAATTTATCATAATTTATAGAATCAACACTAATAAATTGATATACCACACCACTCTTTTGTCATATAGAAAAAACTACTGCCATTTAAAAAAATATTCTCTATATAAAAAAAAATTAACTTTTCCAGAATAACAAAAAATATAAACTATATACCAATTAAGTTAAAATATTGTAATGGAAAAAATATTGTTTTTTTTTTTTATCAAATAATACATATATACGTTATTTGTCTATAAATAACAGTGCCCGTGAGTTTACCGGCATGACGAAGAGTTAATTTACCTTATTCTTCTTCATGCCATGTACTGTAATAATATATGCCAAATTTCATCACTATTGGTTAAGTAAAAGTACCAAGAACTCATATTCACATTAATTATAATATTAGTTTATACCAATAACTTAATTCACATGACTGGTTTATTGATTAACAAAGAATAAAAAAAGTAGCTTATGTTTTTTTCCATCCCAATTAGTACATGTATGTATGCTTAAATTCTTAACGATTCGTGGAACCATAATAAAACTCTAACCCGTAATAAACAAACAAATCAATATTTGAAATAATAGTGAGAATTATAATCCTATTTCATTGTATTTAAAGTTTTTTGTAAAAATATATTTTTTCCCTGAAAATAATTTAGACACTTTCTGATTAAACGCTACTCCAATTTCATTTCTTACTAAAATTCAGAGCAGAGGCTAACGTCAACTGGTTAATCATACATTCTAATTACGCACTACAACAGAGTCATCCCCAGACCGTCCCTGTATAGCACCTTCAAGCGTGTCTGTATAAATTCAAGCCATAAAACAAGTGACAAGTAAAATGAAGCAGTCCTCATGCCAAGTTCACAATGTAACTTCTAAAGTGCAGACTAGCTGACAAAATGGTGGCAAACACAATGTTGTTTTGAGTCTAATTGCAATTCTTTACAGTCGTATCTAATTATATATATATATATATATATATATATATATATATATATATATATATATATATAGTGTAAAACTGTTACAACAATTTTATAAACTTCTAATATTACCAGAGTGAGACTTTGTACAAAAGTCGTTTGCTTGGCGTGTTTTCATAGCTGTGTTTCGGTTTGAAGGTTGGGATATGGCAATGAATTTACAGGGTACAGACGAATAACACCTGAGTTCTCAGCAATGGCAACGCATAGGGGATATCATGAATGTAACAGTATACTCTGTTATGTCTATAGTACTGCTCATGTCTATAGGCGACGGTTACCACTTCCCTTCAGGTGGGCCGTCAGCTTGTTTGCCATTCTAAGTTGCACAAAAAAAATAGTAATTAATTAATTTAACTACTACTCTTTACTCATTAACTAGACGATATGACCGTGATGTTTTCAGTAATTAATATAAAGCACGATCTACATCTCTATTTGGTGTATTCCAAATTTTATAACGAGGTAAAAACTTTATGGTACCAAGAGGTACACAAATGAATACACTCAGCAAATTTTTTTTTTTTTTTTTTTTTAAACGGTTTTATTTAGCTCGACCCGTACGGTATTTATTTATTTGGGTCAAAATTAGAAATTGGAATTTAAGCACCTTCCCGTTGTCAGATTGATCTGAAATTTGGTACACACATATAATTTAGATGACAATACAATATAATAAAATCAATAACATTATAAATCTAAGATGGCCGCCGATACAAAATGGCGGATTACATATTTTTCCTTAACCCCCGCAATATGGGTATCAAATGAAAGGGCTACACTAGTAAAACACGATGATTATGTCAAAATTTAAAATTCAAGATGGACGCCGTTCCAATATGGCGGACCAGGTACATATTTTTCCACAACCACCACAATATGGGTATCAAATAATAGGACTACACTGAGACACCCAGACACTAGACACTCGGACACTAGACACTCAGACGCTAGACCCTCAGACACTAGACACTCAGACACTCAGACCCTAGACACACAGACACTAGACACTCGGATACAAGACACTCAGACACTAGACACTCGGACACTAGACACTCAGACACTAGACACTCGACACTCGACACTCGACACTCAGACACTAAACACCAGACACAAGACACTCAGACACTCGACACTCAGACACTCAGACACTAGGCACTCGTCACTAGACACTCGACACTCGACACTCGACACTCAGACACTAAACACTAGACACTAGACACTCAGACACTCGACACTCAGACACTAGACACTCGACACTCGACACTCGATACTCAGATACTAAACACTAGACACTAGACACTCAGACATCCAGACACTAGACTCAGACACTGGACACTCGGATACAAGACACTCAGACACTAGACTCTCAGACACTTGACACTCAGACACCCAGACACTAGACACTCAGACACTCGACACTCGACGTCACTCGACACTCGACACTCGATACTCGACACTCGACACTCGACACCCGACACTCGACACTCGACAATCAGACACTAAACACTAGACACTAGACACTAGACACTCAGACACTCGACACTCAGACACTAGACACTCGACACTCGACACTCAAATACTAAATACTAGACACTAGACACTCCGACACTCGGATATAAGACACTCAGACACTAGACTCTCAGACACTTGACACTCAGACACCCAGACACTTGACACTCAGACACCCAGACACTAGACACTCAGACACTAGACACTCGAAACTCGACACTCGACACTTGACACTCGACACTCGACACTCGACACTCGACACTCGACACTTAGACACTAGACAGTCAGACACCCAGATACTAGACACTCAGACACTAGACACTCGGATACAAGACACTCTGACACTAGACTCTCAGACACTTGACACTCAGACACCCAGACGTTAGACACTCAGACACTAGACACTCGACACTCAACACTCGACACTCGACACTCGACACTCGACACTCGACACTCGACACTCGACACTTAGACACTAGACACTCAGACACCCAGACACTAGACACTCAGACACTAGACCCTCGGATACAAGACACTCAGACACTAGACTCTCAGACACTTGACACTCAGACACCCAGACACTAGACACTCTGACACTAGACACTCGACACTCGATACTCGACACTCGACACTCGACACTTGACACTCGACACTCGACACTCGACACTCAACACTCGACACTCGACACTCGACACTCAGACACTCAGACACTAGACACTCAGACACTCAGACACTCAGACACTCAGACACTCAGACACTCAGACACTAGACACTCAGACACTAGACACTCAGACACTAGACACTAGACACTAGACACTAGACACTAGACACTCGACACTCGACACTCGACAGTCGACACTCGTCACTCGACACTCAGACACTAAACACTAGACACTAGACACTCGACACTCGACACTCAGATACTAAACACTAGACACTAGACACTCAGACACTGGACATTTGGATACAAGACACTCAGACACTAGACTCTCAGACACTTGACACTCAGACACCTTTTTGGCCTCAGTTCCGTCGAACCCAAATGTACGAAACAGATATATCATCAGTTTTAATTGACTTTGGCACAGACGGCATGCACGTTATTTACCCTAAAGCCATACAGTTTCCAGCAAAATTCAATTATGGTACGGCTGAAAAAAGGATGTTGCCCTTAGTTTTGTCATGAGCATTCACCGTCCATAAAATGCAGGGCAGCACCGTCGACCATGCAGTAGTATATTTGGGCTCAAAATGGTTTGAGGAAGGACAAGCATACGTGGCTCTAAGTCGAGTCAAGTCTCTGGAAGGGCTATGTATTGAGGAATTAGATTGTACTAAATTATCAGGTAAGAAACCATGTAATAACGATGCACTGAATAAATTAAATAAAATGAGGAATATTCAGTAAACAATTTCACTAAATACTAAAAACAAGAAAATAAAAATCGGTAAAAAAACTTTTAAGTTAAACGGTTTTATTTTATATGCACTGAAAACTACAAAATAAATAAATAGTTACTTACCTATCAACCTACGTAGGTGATCTCGGTCATTAATGTCTCTGATGGTAGTGGTTGTCATAACATGAACCATGTCAGCGGCCGAAAGGCAGTTCATGAGAGAACACTAACACCAGGGTTTGCTTGGTAGGTAAACTAAGCAGCCCGCACTATAACAAGTAGAGATGGGCAATCCACCTGGGTGGGTTTAAAGTCTGGTGGGTAAAAACCGGGTGTTTTGGGTTTATTGGGTTTAAACCCCATAAACACCCAAATTTTTGGGTGTTTATGATTTTGTACTTCATCATCGTCATCTCAGCCGCAAGACGTCCACTATACTGGACATAGACAATATTATTATGCAGCCTACAGAATAAAAAACTTTTAATTTGATTTTGAGTTTATTAAGAAAGAGATGAAAGTAAAATGTAAAACTACAGTCAATCACTGTCAGATTCAGAGTTATTACAAGCGATGAATTGTATAGGTTCGATAGGCTCTATTTCGTCTAAACTGTTATGTTCATTTACTTGCTCAATGAAAGCTTCTAAGGTATTTTCTTCATTAAACTGAATGTCCTCGCATTCAGCTTTATGTTTAAGATTCCAGTTATAACAAATGAATGAAATTTTTTCAGTTCTTTCAGTTGTAAGTCGATTTCTTTTGTTATTATGTATGTAGCCTTGGATACTAAAGGAACGCTCAGTGGCCGCCGAAGTACAGGGAGCTGATAGAATACGAATCGCTACTTTGCTTAACTCAGTGGAACCACAAATACCTTTCCACCATATTAGGGGCTCAATGCTATCTAATGAGCTCCATACAAATCCTCTGGCCCAAAAGTTTTCTTTAGCTTTATAACACGCCAAATCTGCCATTACATTTGACAAACTTAAGTGTTGGCTTAAATTGTAGATAAACTCCATACCCTTAAGTTCTTCCTCTTGAGTAAGTTCGACTCCTAGAGTCCTGGGGTCTAGAATATATGCTGCAAAATGTATTGGCCTCATTGCCATATTGCATCTTGAAGATACTGATGTTAGAATCTGCTGTTTGCTTTCTTCGCTCAATGTCGAAATCTCATTTAATGCAAAACGTATCTTAGCTTGTACATCTCTAAATGTAATGTATGTGCGATGCAAACGATTCTGGTCGCTCTCTAAGTAAAATATGCTTTCAGTGACTGGTTCCAAAATACTTATACATTCCCCTGTCTTCGTCCAGAAATCATCACTTAGAATTAAATCTTTAATATCTCTTGAAATTACCACATCTTCTCTAACTGTTAATATTTGCAAAGCTATCTTATTTGCTTTCAAACTTTTTAACGAAGTAACATGACTTCCCCATCTTGTAGCACAAGGCAATTTTAGTGTTTGTGTAGAATCTTCACCCTGCCTTGATTTTATCAACAAGGAACTTAATCGTTGACTCCTTTTAACAGTTTTTATTATATTTATGGCTTGCATAATAAACACAGTTACTTCTTGTATCTTTACAATATCTTGGCACAACAAGTTAAGGATATGTGCACAGCAACCGAGAGGAACAACATGTGGATATTTGAGTTTTGTTAATTCGAATGCCTTTTGTATATTTCTAGCGTTATCGCCAATAAGTACAAGAAACTTATTTGCTCCATACACTTTCATTACTTTTTCAACTTCTTGGCTAAGGTATTCACTAGTGTGAGGATTACTTTCTGTATTCAAACTTTTAACGTATGCAGGTTGAGGTTTTGATATAAGAAAATTTATTATTCCTTCATTTCTTAAATTAGACCAGCCATCGCACTGAAGGTGTAAGTAACTACAAGCATTTAGTTCCTCATTTAACTCAAAACGCATTTCTCTATATATTTTATCTAAGTATTTTGTCGCTAAAGCTTTACGTGAAGGTATTTTAAATTTTGGTTGCAATTTTTCGAAAAATTGTATCCATAAAGGATGTTGCACCATCGATAATGGCGTCCCTGTTACAAATATAGCTCTCGCTAATTCTGTTTTTATATGATCATCGGTGTCTTGAAACTCAGCATTTATTGTAGTGTTAGCAGACGACGAGGGGCTTATAAAAGAATCATTTGTCTCTATCTCTGACAGTCCAGACATTTTGGTTTTGGACGAGCTATCTTTTATAAGTTTCATAGAGTCTTTTAATGTTTCTGGAGATTTTGGACAAGTGATAAGATGTTGAAGCATTTTGGCAGCATTACTGAATTTGTAGACCTTATTACAAAGCTTGCAAGAAACAGACTTGTTTGGTAAAGTACGGTAGTGCTCCCATATGCGTAAATCTTTAGGTCTCCCCATTGAACCTAAAAAAATGAACGATGATTAGTTGGTCTGACGAAAATTCAACAATAGAGTGCCTATTTTTTTACAATGATTATTTCTTGTTATTTACAATAAATTTATTAAAAAAATAATAAAATAAATACAAAAAACCTTTGTAAAATTACATCTCCTCGGAGGATTAAACGCAGACGCTAGTTTATTATCGTATTGTTCTGTATTTTTCTCAGCAACTTCTTTAATTCGATTAGGTACTTACGCATATTATGTTAAAAATAAATATCTAGTACACATCTTAGGCTATCCACCATTATTATCCAATGACGACTCTCAGCTAACTATGCACTATCATCCAAAATAAACGTGTATGGAAAATTTTATCCCAGTCGGTTGAGGATTGAGGATAATTGCATCAACATACGAACATACCTACATACTTTTATTTACATAACGCAAGCTAAATAAAAGCTTGTAATAATACATCTAATTTTAAGTTAAAATTGTTAAGTGATCATGATATAATTGTATCATTCAAAAATCCACTTACCTTTAATTATTTCTTGTTAAGTATAAATATTATTTCAAATCTGCTCCCTTAATATGCACTTTTTTACTGCTTTTCCTACCTAACACGTTACCAGGAAGTCACGTTACCAGAGTCAGAGTAATAGTGAACACGTTTGACAGTGATTGTCGTCGCCTCATATTCAGCGTCGACGAATAGGGGAATCCCCAGTCATAATGTATTGCATGCGTGGCGGTCTTACTTCAAATCCATAAACAAAGAGATAATTACAGAACTCGATACTAGATGGCGCTGTTTTTGTTTGAAGAAAGTTTGCGGGCTAAAATACATAGAATTTCATCAATGACTTCCACAAAGAACAACATTTCTGTTTTTTCTAAGTCCGTATCTCTTCCGTATATTTCATAAGATATAAGCTTGGGCTACATTGTTATGCAACGTGATTTTGTCGCTGTCTTGCTAGCAGGGTTGACAGATATACGATTTAAATCGTACTCATACTATTATTTGTCTATTTTTTAATGTACGATCGTAAAGATTATGATCGTAATTCGCACAAAAACATACGACTTTTTGGTTACCTGGCAACATTTTTATTATGAAACGAACATGCTCACATCATCAGTCACATGCAACAATTTATTGGGGATTTCCCCTTCACATCTGGCAGTCCTGCTTGCTAGAATATAGGTAAGTCAGCCACAGTTACTGACGATCGATATTTAAAGGGTATTGTTTTTGTGCTAAATATTTCATAAAAAACGTTATTTAATACTTTGTGGATTATTAATTTAGTTGATAATCACTGGAAGTAAAATGGATGCTAATTTGAGAGATCAAGATCTTCGTATAAAACAGTTAATAAAAGAAAATCTACGTAAGTACTCTTTTTATACCTAGGTAGGTAAGGTATAATAAACACAAAAGGTACTTAGATCGCGTGTGTTCAAAGCATTTATTCTAATAAATTTAATTTAAAATTGTAGAAAGAAAAAAATGTCTGCCAAGCCGTAGCCGAAGCCGATCTCCAAATATATTTGGCGATAGTGAGACCCAGTGTCCAGATGATTTACCCAGCGTCGTCGCAACAAAGAAAAAAAACGAGGATAAAGTAAAAGAAAATTTACTGAAAGAAGAAACAAACTGTTCTAAATGCTTAATTTATGGAGAAGAGGATAAAAGAAATGAGTATTTCGGACTGTTAGTGGCTCAAGAATTTAAATATATACGGCCATGTGTGCGAACGAGGTGTTATGAAGAAATTTTAAAGTATCTACGGGAAGCAAAAGGCCAACATGTTGATCAACTGCAACATGAAAACACTGAAAATTAATTACTTTCATTTTATTATATATAGATTTTTAAAATTTCCTGAAATATTATTAGTTAACGTTTTATTTAATATTGTAGAATTGATCAATACAATTTATAAAAATAATTTATTGGTATTACTTACATATTTTCAAAAAAATACGTAAAAACCTATTTTTTTGGGTGATTATGGGAGTTTATGGGTGTTTATTGGGTTTTTACCAAAGCACCGGGTTTAAACCCGGTGCTTTGCCCATCTGTAATAACAAGTAGGTATTTTGACCTTCTAGTTCAGAAATATTTTAGTACTAGGCAGAATAGCTTTTAGGCATATTAGACTAAAATAAAAACGTGGGGCCCCTCTGAAATCATACCTATAGCAGAGCATATCTTATACTTTGGTAGATCATGAGCTCGGCGTTCGCTGGTGAAGCCGTAACGGCTGGTTATTGATGGTCAAAACCTCCAGTTACGATTATAGTAAGTCGATTCAGCGGACCCTGGACTCCGGAGCTATGAGGTTTCGGATGCGACCGGGATAAACCGCTAGGATGATGATGATGACGATTATAATAAGTCGATGCAATCCACACTTAGTATAGTAGAAAGTAATACAGAAATAGTTAATGGGCCCCACGTTTTTATTTTAGTCTAATATGCCTAAAAGCTATTCTGCCTAGTACTAAAATATTTCTGAACTAGAAGGTCAAAATACCTACTTGTTATAGTGCGGGCTGCTTAGTTTACCTACCAAGCAAACCCTGGTGTTAGTGTTCTCTCATGAACTGCCTTTCGGCCGCTGACATGGTTCATGTTATGACAACCACTACCATCAGAGACATTAATGACCGAGATCACCTACGTAGGTTGATAGGTAAGTAACTATTTATTTATTTTGTAGTTTTCAGTGCATATAAAATAAAACCGTTTAACTTAAAAGTTTTTTTACCGATTTTTTATACCAAAAAATGTCAATCAATTATACAGCCCGTCTGATGATAAACGGTCACTGTAGCCTATGGATGCCTGCGACACTAGGAATATCACGTGCGCGTTGCTGACCCTGAAGAAACCTTAATAGGTATATTTTGAAGAATTCTATACTGTAATCTCTAAGAAAAACTTCGACTTATCCCACAGCGTGAGGGTTCCCGGGAGATGATTCCTTTAAAAACGCACTGTACGCGATCATTTAGGTTCAAGCGTGTGAGGATAAATTCCCTGTCGATAGCGAGCGGTGCGATGATAAAAGGTGGCTGTGGACGTCATTTCAAACAATTTTTATAGAACACAATCCGTTATACAAGTGGACACACAAAGGGAGGCAAAGTTTCACCTTAGATTTAAGGGCTCGATACCTTTATATTAAGCATCAAAGATAAGATAGTGTCTCTTATATAAAGTCTCAAAATCGCATTAAAAATTATCAATTTGATCAAATTTCCACCTAATTACCACTTACTATCAGGTGGGCCGTATGCTTGTTTGCCACCTCAGTAGTATATATATATATATATATATATATATATATATATATATATATATATATATATATATATATATATATATATATATATATATATAATAATACCCAATAAATCTGTTTATTATTGGGTATTATCCGGCAAAATGAAGGATATATTATACGTCACGTCCATTTCTTCTGATCTAAATTACAAAATAAATTCATTGATTTTTTTCCAAAGTATATACATAAAACAAGTAAAATGATAGTGAAACCTTAAAAGGGGATACCGATATTCAATGAAGTTCGCCTGGCTCGCGCCACCATCTATTATTAATTGGAAACCGTTGAGCTGTACACTGCCATGATTTCAATATACATTACATAATAAAACGCTGGCGCGTCTGATAATATTACAATTAATAATTTAACAATTACTAATTGCCAGTCGTTTCATTCAATATACCGAGAAATATCGAAAAGCCGAAATAAAAACTAGACTCAGTCCTCTGGCAGCAATTAAGTGTATGTATTAGATTTTTTTTTTTACTACTTAGAATGGCAAACAAGCTGACGGTCCACCTCATCGAAAGTAGTAACCGTCGCCTATAGATATGAGCAGTACCATGGACATAACAGAGTATACTGTTTCGCCCATGATACCCCCCATGCGTTGCCATTCCTGAGGATTCAGGTGTTATTCCTCTGTACCTTGTAAATTCACGCCATATCTCACCCTTCAAATCGAAACACAGCCATGCAAACACAACTGCTTCACGATTGAAACACGAATGAGACAGAGGTACCCAAGCAATCGACTTTTGTACAAAGTATAGATAGAGTCTCAAGTTTCAAAAACGTGCCAACTTTTTGTTAACTAATTATCAAATTAACTGACTCGTTTTTTTATCAGTGTTTTATTCAATTACGCATACAATGTGTCTTTACATGTTATTTAATAAATAAAATGAGTATTTACGATTTAAAAAGATCCAGAAATTATAAGACAAAATAAGTATAGAAGTTATAATGGCATCAATCATAATTATTTATCACGCAAAATTGTAAGAAAAAGTTGACCCGCTTTTCTCAAAGCATTTGTATGGAGACACTGTGTCTATATAACCTAAGAGAGATATGTGACGTACAGCGATCAAACAAGAAGACAATTTCAAAGATATGAATATAATTTACAAATCCAATTATTCTAATAATCTTATATATAAAATTCTCGTGTCACGGTGTTTGTTACCAAACTTCTCCGAAACGGCTTTACTGATTTTTATGAAATTTTGTGTGCATATTGGGTAGGTCTGAGAATCGGCCAACATCTATTTTTCATACCCCTCAATGATAAGGGTGACCCTCCCCAAAAAATGTTTTTTAATTTTTTTACCAAATTTTTCCCATTTTATTTTATTATGATTTAGCATTGAAAAATACACACAACTTTAAATTTTCATCGTTTTACGATCAACCCCTGTCTGTTAATCGCAATTTTTATATTTCGCAATAAGTGGTAAAACAACGTTTACGGGGTCAGCTAGTAAATCTATAAAAAAGTAAAGGGAGTAAAGTAAAGAAGTTTCCATCGGCCGATCGCCAACAATATCAATGTTTACAAACAGAGAAATATTTCGATAACTCAATCAAACTAACTAAACTTTCAATACTATAAATTGAATTTAAAGTAGAGAAATGGCACTTCTGATATTTTGGCAATACTAGAAATATAACTTGAAGTAACTATGAACATTAAAAATAAATAAATTGATATATTATATAATCCATTTTCATTTAAGAGTTTCCTCTTGTCGGTGCAACTAATTCTTGCATCTTCCTCCAGCCAGCTCTGTCCCAGGCCATATCCTTTATCTCCCTGTACGACATGACGCCTAGTGTTTCCTTTATCTGTCCCATGTAGTTAATCCTCGGTCTTCCTCTTCCTCTTTTGCCCTCTATCTTTCCTTCTATTATGCTCTTAAAAAAATCGTCATGTCGTATAAGGTGGCCCAGCATTTTGCCTCTTCTATTCTTTATTATTTCAATCAATGTTCTCTTCTCGTTTACTCTTTTTAGGACTTCCTCGTTCGTTAGTTTTTCTGTCCAGCTTATCCTTTCCATTCTCCTCCATGTCCACATTTCGAATGCCTCAAGCATCTTTCTTTCCTTCTGCGTCATTATATAATATGTGTTAATTAAACGATTTGAATAATATCTAACTGTGATTAAATAATCATAGATATATTTATAAATATACAAAATATCCACAGAATTATTTTTTTGATGGATGACAATATATTGGTAACCTCGACTGCGTTAACGGTATACGCTGGCGAGGCACCAATGAGGGATGATAAGTGAGAGTGAAAAGGCAGGTCAGTACCCCATCATGACGAATACACTTAGAATTTAGTTCGATTGTTTCCATGGACACGACATGTATATAGATCGATCCGACTGTAAGAACAAGGATACATAGAAGGAATGACAAAATAAAAATTGTAAACCATATGGTCGCCTTTCTTCTTATGCAAATATAATTAGTAAAAAGAAGACGAAAGATACACCAGCAGTTGCTTTTTTCTCAATTCATAACAGGCTAGTGTATAGAAAAAATTTGATATGTCAATTATTTATCAATGACAAATTTTACATTACTAGATTATATATTGGACACAGTTTATGTAGAAGGTATGCAAGCAGGTTGTATCTGTATTTGGTAGGGTTATACGACCGTTGGATCTCCGGGCTGCGGATGGCGGGAATCATCCAAAGCCCCCGAGAGACAGGAGGTTCGGGAGTCGGTGCGCTCGGAGAGGCCCCGTCAAGGGGGCAGCGCTGCTGGTGACGCCTGCACTGACTGACCGCTGACGACTGCAAATCGTGAGCCCTCGTCATCGGCACACGGCGCTGGGAGGAATACCGAGGTGGTTTTTAGTGGGTAAAAATCCCACAGTACCCATCGCCATCCCGCTGGCGGTGGGTCTCTTTCAGAAGATTTTCCCCTCGTTAAAAAAAAGTAGCTAGCCTGCTATGAATTAACAATTTTATCACTCCTT